CCTTATTATAATTATACTATAAAGGATACCAAAACCCTATTCTAGTTTTTTAAGGTCCCTCTATTACGATTTGCGATGGAGCTTTGAGCTTCTGTAGAGACTGGGGTAGAGGAAATTCGGCTTTAGATTTTAGGGTTTAGGTTTTTTGGTTAGATTTTAGGATGTAGGGGTTTTACGGACAACACGAGAAGCCTGAGAAAATAGGACATCTCGCTCAAGACCCTCACTCAATATTAATCGTCAACAATTTGTTTCCGAAAACACTGCAGTACGGACCCCAGATACCGACAAACCTCAAACCCAAATTTTCAACACTCTGAGCCCTAACCCTTAAACACAACAACCTCAATCCCTGCCTAAACATGAAGCGCAACGGACCACGAAGGCACTACGCGAGACTCTCACAGAAGCAACAACTCGCCCCTCAACCATCCGACACCTAAACCCGAAGTCCCATTACATGACCCTAAACCCAAAACCTTAAACCCNNAAACCCTAAACCTAAATCCGAAAACCCCGACCCTACCCAGAAAGTTGGAAACTGGATGAAGCACAAATAGTGCTGGGATTCACTATGTACTACTCTTAAGGATTGAGGCTGTTGAGTTTCCAACTTTTCGGCATCGACTCCACATCCATGAAGCCCCCACCGGCCCTATCCTTTCCAACTCTCATTGAGGCTTGTAGAACCCCTGGGTTCAGGGTTTAGGGCTTTTCGAACCCTTTCGGGAGCGTTTTGGGAACCCTTATGAACCCTAAACCCTTAACCCTTAAACCCTTAAACCCTCAAACCCTCAAACCCTTCAGCCCTAAACCCTACACCCAAAGTCCTTAAACCCTAAACCCTAAACCCTAAACCCTCAAACCCTTCAACCCTAAACCCTACACCCCTAAGTCCTAAAACCCTGCTTGCTCCGCTTCTTTTCAAACAGAAGGCCCTCGGCCCGAAAATTGGCTGCTACTTGCAGGACGGGGAACTGAATTAGTCTGAAAATTCTTCAGAAGTTCGGGTCTCCGGCTTTAGGATTTAGGGCTTAGGCTTTGGAATTTCTGATTTGGGGTTTAGGATTTAGGCTTTAGCATTTTGTGTTTCGGATTTAGTGTAGAGGGCTTAGGGGGTTTAGGATTCAGGATATCAGCTTTTGGTTTAAGTCATAACAACGAGCGGAGCCTTGTCTCGAGTCGACCTCGTGCAAGAAAGATTCCCTAAGGGTCCAAGTACCTAGGATTCATCCGCTCTCCGAAGAATACTAGCCTGCATTGTATTTGTATCCCTAAACTCCCTAAACCTCCGGAACCCTAAACCCGAAAAGCCGTAGGGTTTCCAGCCCTAAACCAGGCCGCGCGATCCCCCCCTAGGCAAATGATGTGAGCCGGTTTAGGGTTCAGGGGCTATAAACAGCTTAGACCCAGAATGACACGATTCTGTTGCTAAAAACCCCTAAACCCTAAACCCTTTTGGGTTGATCTCATGACAAAAGTGCGAATAGTTCCGAGGGAGTTTCCAGCAACGCAATAAGAGCTGCCGAGCGTAGGGCTTTAGGATGTTAGGGGTTTGGGGCTTGAGTTTTTGTTGGGTTTTTGCGGGTTTAGCGTTTGGGGTTTAGGGTTTGGGCTGGGGGTTTTTGGAACTGTTGGGGTTTTTGGGTTTAGGTTTTAGGGTTCAGGGTTTTTGGCTTAGGGCTGTTGGGGTTTAAGACCTTCTGCCGAGGATTAAGTAGCAATAAGTACTATGAATCTTCTTTTGGATTCCATTTAGGGTTTAAATTAGGGTTTAGGGTTTAGGCTTCGGCTTAGGGTTTAGGGTTTAGGGTTATAGCATGGAAGCCAATAAGTTCAGCATCATGTACCCCAAACCCTATTTCAACTATTAAGGCCCCGCTACTAAGCCGCAGAGCTATCAGAGGTTGCTGTAGCTACGCCCCGGCTCTCCAGCCGTCTCCGACGGCGCCGAAGGTGTCGACGCCGACTCCGACGGCCAGTCGTCTGGCGCCAGCGGGTCCGAGATGTACAGCTGTCGTTTGGTGACCTTTTCTTTTTTTTGGAGGGGTGGGGGGAAAGGAGGGGGGGTTAGAACTCCTTCTGCTGTTGATGATCCTGCATTACCCATAATAAGGAATATACCATGATTCCCATGGTTTATGCCCTTAGGGTAATGCAGGATTTATATCTTCAACAGTCAGGGGGGTTTGGGGTTTCGGCTGTGGAATCTTGGGTTTAGGGCTTCATCTTCAGTGTGCAGTTTTGGTATTTTGGGCTTCGGGGTTCGGGTTTAGGGGTTTAGGGGTTTAGGGTTTAGGGTTTAGGGTTTAGGGTTTAGGGTTTAGGGTTTAGGTTTAGGGTTTAGGGTTTAGGGTTTAGTACTTTGGGTTTGGGGTTTGGTATCGAGGGCTTAGGCGGACTCAAACTCGAAAGCCTAAACTGTCATGACTATTATAAAGAAGAAACCAAAGGGGCACAGCTCCAAAAACGAAGACCTCAACAAGGGTGATAATAGGATCCTATAGAAGATAGAAACCTCCGTCCCTCCTTCATGCATCCCCAAACCCTAAATCAACCCCTAAAGCCCTACACCCAAAGCTCACAGCTTGATGAATGCTCGAATAAAGAAAAGGGATGCTCGTTGATCTCTTGCAGTTGACAAAGAGGGAGCTCCACGGCTCAAAAGGTGTAGGGTTTAGGGTGCAAGGGTTTAGTGGGTTAGGGTTTAAGCGTGTACAGGTTTAGGGTTTAGGCGTGTAGGGGTTTAGGGCTTAGGGGGTCGTTAGGGTTTAGGGTTTAGGGGGTTTAGGGGCCAACTGCGTATATTGGGATGCAGGCTACATTCGTAAGGGCTTGCGGGTCCTCTACGTAAGGGCTTGCAAGGTGGGGTTGGGCAGGCGTCAGTCGTATGCAAAAGGCGCCAAGTTGGAATGGGTACAGGTTGGGTTGGGATCTTGCAAGAATGGAATGCCTCGAAAAACAAGCCTCTTGGAAACCTTCAGAGAAAATACAACAGAAAAAGCAGCTGATACGGAGAGCCCTTGGCTATGGCAAGACCCCTTCTATTGATACAGGGGCCTTCCATGGCCTTAAAAAGTAGGACAGGGTTTTGGACAATATTAGATACCACCATATAGTTTACAACCAGGAACCCCAAAATAGTGCTGGTTGCTGGCCATGGGCCCTAAGCGCTAAACCCTAAACCCTAATGAGCCCTAAGCCCTAAACCCTAATGAGCCCTAGGCCCTAAGCCGTAAACCCCAAGCCCTAAACCCTCAACCATGAGCCCTGAGCCCTAAGCCCTAAAGGGCCCTATATCACAACTTACCAACAAAATGGGCTCTCGAGGCTTTGGGCTTTCTTAGGGTTGAGGGCACAGTTTAGGGGTTTAGGGGTTTAGGGTTTAAGGGTTTCGGGGTTTAGGGGTTTAGGGTTCGGGGTGTAATGCGGTTTTGGATGTAGGGCTTAGGGTCTAGGGCTTAGGGCGTAGGGTTCAGGAGTAGGATTTATGGTTTGGGGCGACAACCCTAAGCCCGAAACCCTGGGGTGTGGCTTCGGACCCTGGAACCCTGAAAATCCGTCGCAGCTGCAGCCATGACGTGGGAAACAACTCAGGGTTTAGGGTTTAGTATGACAGAGTTGTACATATGGTTGATGACATAAATCCTGCATTACCTTAAGGACCCTAAACTATGGAAATTTTGTATGGTATACTATGCGTTATTCTGGCTAGTGCAGGATTTATATCATCAACCGTCTCTGTAGCACTGCCAACATGCACAACAGACCGTAAGCCCACCCACAACAACCAAGATCCTCTGAGCTTCTATCGAGACCCTACATAATTAACCGCAGCAGCTCAGCCTTACTACATGGCCCTAAACCCCGAACTGACACAAGCACCCTTAAGCCTAAGTCCTACCAAAGCCTGAAGCGCAAAACTACACCCTGAAGCAAAGCAAACCCTAAACCCCCTAAACCCTAAACCCTAAACCCTAAACCCTAAACCCTAAACCCTAAACCCTAAACCCTAAACCCAAACCCTAAACCCCAAAACCTACGGCAGCCTGAACCCCCAAAGCACCCTATTCCCGAAGGCTCCATTTACCGATATAGGTAAAAATGTAGGCCTCATACTAATACCCATCTAGGAACCCCTTATATACTGTATAAGTACATGGAGACTTACTTCGAGGGTCGGGGGAGTTAGTAAGTAGTT